CCCCCATGCACTCCCCCCCTCCCGACAAAATTCAGCCCCCGACAGGCCGCCAGTTGCGGGCAGCCTGGTGTACAGCGTCAGGCAGGGCAAAGCTCTGGTCGTGCCGCCTGCTGCAGGCTTCCTCTCCAATGCCTCTGACCCCGACGGCGACGCGGTTTCGTTCAGCGACAACACGCAGCCTGCCCACGGGTCGCTTGACGTCCGGCAGGATGGCGCTTTCAACTACACGCCCGATGATGCGTATTCTGGCCAAGACAGGTTCAACTACACAGTGACAGACGGCATCTTGTCAACCAATGCGGTCGTCACAATCACTATAAGTGGGTTCCTGCATTAGTAAAATCTGGACTTTGCAGTGCTGGCGGGCAAGGTCGAGGGGCCCTGTGTTGCGCATCGCCCTGCTCTCCATCCAGCCGTCCCGCAGCACCATCCTGCATCAAACGGATGCATCATGTGGTTGTGCCGCTCCCCCGTGAATGCAGCGGAGCCTTGTACATAGTGTGCAGCAGCCAAACAAGCTTCCTGTCACATAATCATTTAAACCAACCCGCACCTATTCTTGTTCCCAATCTATTCGGTTGCCCCCCTCAGTCCCCAACCAGCCGCTGGTTGCAGGCGCCCTGGCGTACAGCGTCAGGCAAGGCCAGCTTTTGTTAGTGCCGATTTCTGCAGGGCTGCTCTCCAACGTCTCCAACCCTGACAATGGCACGCTTTCATTGAGTGACAACGGTCAAGTGGCGCACGGGTCACTGGACGTCCGACCAGATGGCTCCTTTGACTACGTCCCTTTTGAAAACTACACTGGCCAAGATGGGTTCAACTACACAGTAACAGACGGCACGGCGTACACGACTGCGGCCGTCACGATCACGATAAGTGAGTTCATGGCTTGTATAAACAGCCCTGGTGGCTACGTTTTGAAGCAGCCCTAGTGCCTGTTGGGTCAGCCGTGACGGCTGTGAATGTTGGGAGATATGCCCAGTGTGGAGAAAGTATCATGCTGTCTAGCCCTCTGTAATGACTTAATTCCCATGCTATACCCCTGAAATGGTAAAACAGATGCTGCTGAACCCCTGTGCCCCCCTCCACACACACACCAGCACGCGCTGCCATACTGAACGAGAACGCATGTGCCCAACCCACACGCCACCCAACACCACCCGCTGCTTCCGGCCTTGTCTACCCCGCGCAGGTCCAAACCACCCGCCGACTTTGTCAGCCCGTGCCTACACGACGGGGCAGGGTCAGACTCTCGCCGTACCCGACACCGAGGGCCTGCTTGCAAACGCCTCTGATGCCGACGGCGACTCACTCCAGCTCTTGGCCACCGGGTCCCCATCCCATGGCAACGTCACATCTGACGCATCAGGGTCTTTCGAGTACGTTCCAGATGCAAGATATGTGGGCCAAGACAGCTTCACATACACTGTGACTGATGGTGTCAGCTCGACCACTGGGTCGGTGACGGTCCAAATAAGTGAGTGGGCCCTGTCAATTGCAGTTGGGCTGGGGAGCTGGTGTGCGTCATGCAAGATGCGGCTGCATGCACCGTCCAACCCCCTTTCACAAGCACTGGCGATGTTGCACACACGACATAGAAAGCAATTGCTGATGGCGACCTCTCTCCTCTCTCGCTTTGTTCACCCCTCTCTTGCCTGGCGCCCAGCTGCAAAGAACCCGCCTGTCGCGGGGGATCTTGCCTACACAATCAACGAGGACGAGCCGCTCATTGTCACGGCAGCCAACGGGCTGCTTTCCAACATCAACGCCGCGGACGGCGACGTGCTGGCGGTAAAGTCCTACACGCAGCCCGCGCACGGCCGCCTGGCGGTCAACGATTCTGACGGGTCCTTCGTCTACGACCCAGACGCGGACTACAACGGGCAGGACACGTTCACTTACAGCGTCTCCAATGGCGCAGCAACATCCACGGCGTCTGTCTCAATTACTATAAGTGAGCCAGCCCCTTTGTTGTTGAATATGCCAGCTGAGTTGGGCGCGCCTTCCGCCGCCATGCAGGGCCTGCTGTGCCGCGGCACCCGCAAGGCCAGCCAGCAGCCAGTTGCTACACACTATCCGCAACCTGTCCACCTTTTGACCACCTTTTGACCCCCTGGCAAACCCTCGACCTCTGGCTAAGCGCGCACCTCATCATCTGCTCCGGCAACGCACTCGCCGCTGCAGATCCCGTCGCCGACGTGCCGCAAGCGACGGGGGCCACCATCTCTTTCGTGACCTACAGGAACACACTCCTGGAGGTCCCCGCGGAGGGCGGTTTGCTGACGCCTGGCCTCGTCTTCACCAATCCCAACAACGAGACGCTGTCCGTTGAGCTTGTCAGCGGGCCTGGCTCCAGTTTTGGCAAGGTCCAGGTGTTCCCCAACGGCTCGTTCACATTCACACCGACGCTTACGAGCGCAAAGAAGGGGCCGACCAACGTTGGATACTTCCAGGTTCGCGCACGCGGCGCGGGCGGGCAGCTCTATAACGAAACCGCCACGATCGGTCTCGTCACCATCTTCGGTGAGCGCAAAGCAAGCTCGTGCTTGCAGTGTGACAGCGGCAAAGCAGACAGCTGCGTACGCCCCCCCAGCCCCAGAAATGCTGTCCTACTGTATCCAACGCAGTGACCCGGGATTTGCCCCGTGCTCGCTATATAATCGGCTGCCTTCTCGCTGGGATCTCCACTCTGCTTGTGCTGCATTTTTGAAACCTCACCTTCCTGCTCGAAGCCTGCCAACAGTGCACCTCTCACGCCCTCCCCTGCACGCCTCTCCCCTGGGTCCCCGCACCCTCGTGCCCACACAGGCCTGGCTCCGCTGCTCCCAGCCATTCGGCTGTACACCGTCACCCTCACCCCGCGAGGCTGCGTCTCCACCGACCGATTTGAGTACTCCATCAATGCAACCGCCGGCCGCATCGTGGTGGCGCAGCCCAAAGGCAAGATGGCGGTCGTCGGCGCGCCCAAAGGGCTCGCGATCCAGATCGTGCCCGAGGGTGCGAACTTCCCACCGACGGCAAAGGCGTGCAACATCACCCTGCGCTCGATCAAATTTACGGCGGGGCTTGGGCGGCTCTTCACGAAGGACCACAACTGGAGGTTTTTCAAGTGTTTGAAGGCCCTGAAGTTCACATGCGGGGGCGGGATGAGTTACAAGTTCCGCGCCGCGGCGGCCAAAACCTCGGCGTACCGCCAGGGCGAGTGGTCGAACGAGGTTGTGGTTGCCCCGCAGTGTCAGGGCAAGGCCCTGTCGTGTCGCAACATCTGGAAGTCCTGATGGGCCGAGCAAACTGGGCAGAACCAGCCTGCGCCTGCCCGCCGCGGGACAGCGCGACGCACGGAAGCCGGCGCAGGGCAGCAGCAGGGGACGCTTGCCTGCGGCAGGACGCGCGTATGTGCGCACCTCGACCAGCATGCTGCTGCAGCGGCTGCCGTGAAATCTCAAATTTGCAGCTCTTCTGAGCTTTCCTGATTGCAGGGCAAAAATGAGTGGAGGCTTGATTGTGTTCAACCTGTGGTGTGGCTCCGAGTGTCCTCATCACGGTGCACTTGACTGCGACCTCACCTTTGAAATGTCACACGTGGGCCACTTGAGTCACTTGTCACTGAGCTTGGTGATCTCCCATTGGCTTCCTGGCCATTCAATACCACATGCATGCAGTCGTCATCACATGCCCGCCCACCCCTGATTCCACCAAGTGCATGCGGGGCCGCCTGCGCTAGCCACTTGCCAGAGCAGGCGGATCTTACCCCGCCTCTTTTGATGCTGCATGGATGCCCATCTATTTGCTTAAATAATCCGCACTTACCACCTTGCACCATGCTTCATTCTTGCTGCTACCCCCAACCAAGTCAGCCCCTGTGGCGTTCGCACCTGCCAAAAGCAGGGTGTTTCCTAGCACCATTCGCTTCGTGGTTGCACGAGGCCCCTTTGCACGCGCCAAGCGCCTGCCTGCCTTTCATGCCTGCTGCTGCTTCCTTGGGGCCATCTCAGCGGTGGCTGCGAGCATTTGGCGATTGGCCCACACCTCATGAGGTGCGAGCCGCCAGCTCATGCTCATCAACAAGCCGCGTCCAGCGCAGGCGCCAATGGCATCGGTTGCCACCATCGTCGCTGGACCTATGCGCTGCTGGCCTTTTGCCGCAGCTTACATACTGACTTGGGTTCAACCAAATGCACATCTTGATTGTTTTGCACGCCCCTCACACCCCACACCGCTTGCTTCTGGAGGTGTTTCGGATTCCTTGGGTGGGGGCGTGTTGTTGTCGTTGGAGCGCGGGGGAAGAGCTTGCTTTGGGGGTTGGATGCCACATTTGAACTGTGGTGTGTGCACACAATAACACAATGTAAATACTTCTGTTGGTTTGGGGTCTATCAGGGTTAGGGGCCAGATGCAGGAGCCATCAGAGACCACAGACATCACGACAGCCCAGGTCGGACCTGCCAGGCTGTTTTAACGTCTGCAAATGACCGCCGTGCAGGGCCACCAATGTCGTGCTCTCTCACCTGTTCGACAGCTTTCCGATGGTGTGCTTTATCTTTCGAAGCAGTTGCTTCGGGTGCGGTGTGAATGCCGCGGGTTGCATGCACTGTGGGCAACTGCAGCGATGCACTACTGTTGCCCTCAAAATCTCGTAGTCAGCGGCGCCAACACAGCACCAGGCACCAATGGGGCAGCGTACATACTTATATATCAACCATTTATTCCTATTTCGTAACTCGAATTGTCTGACTCTTGCGTTGCACGGCCACGATGACAATACAGTCTCCAGAGCATTGAGTGGCGACGGAATGTCATGCGGGAAAACATCACGAACAGGCTTCTTGATAGGGAGATGCGAGGCCACCGTCCAGGCGCAGCGGTGCGGTGTCAGATGGCATGCTGTTGGGGGAGCGCACAGCTTGTCCAAATTGCGCAGTGCTGCACTCGTGGCCACTCAGAATCGCCGTTGTGCGGACAGCCATTTGTCTATGTATAAGGGCAGCCATGGTTACCAATGTATATGTGCGATGCGCCACCTCTGCTGGGACAGGTGCACACAGTGCGACGGCTTTACCCTGCAGTGGCGCCCAACACACAGGTGTGCGGCATATCATGCCATGCATGCGTATACATGCGTAGCGGTCCTTGTGCATCGCCAGTATGCAGGAATTCCAAAATCAAGGTATTCACATCAGCTGGCCCCACTTGCTCGCACAGGCCCTGCGAACTGATGCCCCAGCTGGCATTGACATTGCAAGGTGCGCGCCCGCGGCCTGGGGGGCTCGTGGTGGTGGTGGTGCTGCTGCCGCTGCTGCTGCTGTTGCTGCTGCTGCTGTTGCTGCTGCTGCTGCTGCTGCTGCTGCTGCTGCTGTTGCTGCTGCTGCTGTTGCTGCTGCTGCTGTTGCTGCTGCTGCTGCTGCTGCTGATGCTGGTGGTGGTGCCGCTGCTGCTGCTCTCCTCCGAGTGCTCCTGTTCTCGTCCTCCCTGATGCCGCCGCATACCCTGCTGCACAGATTCACGCCTGATGGGAGGCACCTCGTGTGCTTTTCTCACGACGCCTCAGAGCTCATCTTGTTTGAGTGGATTGGGCCCGTGCCACAGCAACAGCAGCAGCAACATGAGGGGGGACTCAGCAGCAATCATGGCGGCGGCGACGCGGGCAGCGCGGGTTTGGTGGCGAATGGTCCCGCCCAGCAGCCGGCTCATGCAGCAGGCGGGGCCGCCACAGGAAGGCACCAGGCGCCAGCGGCGGCAGCCGCTGCGGCGGGCACGTCGCAGGCAGTGGCGGGGGTGGACTTCAGCAGGTAGGTCTGGTGGCCAGGCCGGGCGGGGTTCACAGCATTTGCTCAGGTCCGTTTGCAGCCCATGGATCCTAATCAAGTTATGAAGGACCAAAGGGAAAGCTTGTTTGCATGCTTTCCACGGACGCCTCCCTCAAGGGGCCCAACCCCGCCTTCACCCACCACCAACGCACTCGGCTCCCTCTGGCTTCCCCACAGCTTCTTCAGGGGCCCTATCTGGCGCCTGCGCCTGGCGGCGGCGCCCCAGCAGCAGCTCTCCCGCGAGTTCTGCCTGTCTTTGCTCGACGGGCGCTACTTACTGGTGGCTGCAGAGACACAACACCCGCAGCCGCCGCCGCCGCAGCCGCCCCCAGCGGCGGCACAGCAGCAGCCGTCTCAGCAGCAGCAGCCTGAGGTTCAGCAGCAGCAGCAGCACCAGCGCGCGACCGCGGCCACAACGCCCCCCTCTTCAGACAGGACGGCTCTGACCACGTTCTTCCTGATCGACGTCGCGCGCGGCGCCAAGGTGGACGAGCGCGCCTTCGAGGACGACCACTTTGTGCTGCCCCTCAACGCCTGCGCCAGCGTGCAGGACGACCTCATCACCCTCCTGGCGGTGAGGCGGGCCGCTAGCCTATGCGAGCCGCGAGCTGCTCGCAATGATTTCTGGGCGGCTGCCGCCTTGCCGGGTTCTGGGGGAATACGGATGTGCCCGGCGTGCCTGTGTGCGGTTGGTGGCGCTTGATTGCGTAAATCGATGCGCGTGGGTGGATGCACGGGGGCCCAGAGGAGGCGCTGTGCCCCAGGGCCTGCCCACATCGGAGCCCCTCGTCCAGCACCTAGCAGCCCCCCCCTGCGTGGGCCGCCTGAGCCCACGCAGCTGAACACGCTGACGTCACGGACCGTTTGCAAGCCCATGCAAGACACCCACGCTTGCACACGCCTGGAAGCACTAATACTTCCTTTAAAATCGCGACCGCACTGCCCGCGCCGCGCCCGCAGCTGCGGAGCCAGACAGTCCACATTTTCAGGGTGCTGCCCGGCGGGGCTCTCCTTGAGGTCAATGCCCTGGGCACCCACTGCCAGCCTGATGACGCCCTCACCATCTCGATGGCCGAGGAGGCCGAGTCCCAGTGGCGGCGGCGGCGGCGGCGCGACGAGGAGCGGCGCGCGCGCGGCGCGCCGGCGACGGATGCGGGCCACAAGGCCACCCGGGGGGTGCATGGGCGGCTGCCGGCGGTGGTGGTCCCGAGGTCGGACGGGTTGGGGCAGCATCTGCTGCAGCAGCAACAGCTGCAGCACCAGCAGCAAGAGCAGCAGCGGCGGCAACCAGGGCTCCACGGCCCGGCAGAGGGCGACCTGGGGGCCGTGCCTGATGACTCTTTGTGGCAGCACGCTGTGCCAGACTTGCAGCCTGCTGCTCAAGAGCAGCAGCAGCAGCAGCAGCAGCAGCGGCAAGGGCAGCAGCAGCAGCAGCAGCAGCAGCAGCAGAGGAGACAGCAGGGTGCTCCGTTGCGGCGCCGCCAGCGGCGCGGGCGCACGAGCGACAGCTCCGTGAGCGGTGGCAGCGATGGGGAGGAGTCGAGTGAGGGGGAGCAGCAGCAGCAACAGCGAGAGCGGCGCGTGCGCGCCAGGCTCGAGCCGGGGCGGCCGGACGGCGCGGCCCAGCGCCAGCAGCAGCAGCCTGGTCAGGGGCGCTCGCCCGCCCCCGCGACGCCGCCGCCGCAGCTGCAGCAGCCGCCTGGACAGCAGCAGCGCGCCGGCGCCGCCAGGGGTCCGCCGCCTGGCGGCGTCGCGGCCGCGCCGCCGCCGCTGGAGGCGCTGTCAGAGGCGG